TACAGAAAGACAGCTGGGTATCCTTGTGTCTTCTTTCATTTCCCTAGGGGAAAAACTCCTTAAAGATGGAAGTGTGTAAGTAATTGCAGGAGAAGAGATTTCCTGTTTTCCAAGGAAAGTCATGACAGGGAGGAAAAGGACTATAACTGAATAAAATCCACAGTTTTGGGGATACTGTTAGCCCTGCTATATAGACCAGACTAAGAAATCAACTCCACAGGAAGATTAAAATGACTTTTATTATGATTGTCTATGGCAGTGTTGTCAGATTTGGCTACTTTAAGATGTATAGATTTCAACTCCCAGAATTCCCCAGAATGGGACTGTTTAATAGCCAGTTTGGTGTAGTGGTTAAGGCACTAAGCTAGAAAGTTGGCCACCATGAGTTTAAGTCCCCCCTTAGCCATGAAAGCCAGCTGGGTGGCTTTGGGCCTATCACTCTCTCAGCCTACCCACCTCACTGGGTTGTTGCTGTGGAGAAAATATGAAAAAGAAGTTGTATCTGATGTGTTTGCCTTGAATTATTTGTAAAAAATAATAAAGGCGGGAAACAAACAAATTGGGACATAAGGTATGGCCTTATAGCTCACAGTGGCCCATGGTAAGTTTTATCAGAATATTCCCATAGCAATCCCTGAATCTCAAGATCCAAATGTTTCTTCTGAGACCATTGTTCTCTGTAGATACCAGAAGGGCAGGAAGTAACCTGACATCTATTACATTATTAGTTGTGAATATATATATATGCATCATTCTCCACCCCCTTTTGGGAATAAATGAGAGCATCTTGTTGTCTTCAGGCATGTATCTCTCACTATTCCTTTGGAGGAGATCCTTCCAGTATCTACTGTCTATTATTAGTTTGAGTTAGTGATTTCCATCCTTGGCAATGTTAAGACTTATGGACTTCAACTCCCAGAATTCCAGGCTGGCTGGGGAATTCTGGGAGTTGAAGTCCACAAGTCTTAACTTTGTCAAGTTGGCCAATCCTGCTTTGAGTCTTGTGTTTTGATTCCATATTTATGCTAGAAAAACACTAAACTTACATTCAAAATCAGCCTGAACAACAGGAGATAAACACAAACAAGCTTCAACATGGAAGAGCAGAGGTTGGATCTGAGACCTGCCTTGGAGACTTAAGTATTATGTATGTAAATTAGGCCTGGTTCCACCAATAATTTGTCAAATTAATTCTTTTTCTAATGAAAAAATAGTTAAGTAGACTGTAGTAATGCATCTAAGAACAAGATGTATTATTTAAACAAAGATAACAACACCATGAGTTACATCCGTGCCAATAAGACTGGATGCTCTCAAAGTTTGCTATGTTATAAACTGTAAAATTTGAAATAGAATTGATCTTCCTTATCATTCTAATACCACAAATTCAGGATTCAGCTTTAAATAATACAATTTAATTAAAGTCAGATTGAAACCTTGAGAAATGTAATGGTTTTGGAAGACTGACAGAAAAAAAATCTTCCATATTAAGCTGGATGGTGTTGCTTAATAAAAAGAGGTTTGAAAATTTGGTCCTTGTTTACCTCAAAAAATTGAAAAGAGAAGGAAAAAAACACTTCCAAGTATGAGTGTTTGGAAAGAACCGTTATCTTTATTTGACTCCCATCCCTGCTCTTTTTAATATTGTTGATAGGATACATATCTAATTTAAGCAAAGCCTTTATTAATTAAGAGACGTCAGTTGAAATCCTAATTTGTTTGGTAAAAACTGGATAGTTGCTACCCATTTTTTTGCCCAGAGTCATGAATACATGCACCAGCATGGGACAAATTTTCCCAAGCTCAAACTACAACAAATAAATAGAAATTAAGTTGTTTACTGGGTTTTTAAATCTCAGGGCTTTCAATACAGTTGGTTTTAATATATGAATGAAAGTTTCTCCATTCTGCCTGGAGAAGCTAGTTGTCTACTAAGCTGGACTGCAATCCTGTTGGGGCTGTAGCTTTGTCTGTGCACGCAAGCCCAGTCCCTACCAGATACACTTCAAATTTTCCTCCCTACTCTGTCTGAATAACCCAGATTTTCCAGGCAATGCAGGAAAAAACATGACACATTAGCTAGAATATATGGGACAATTTAACAACCTCCTGAACCTAAGATACAGAACTCTCTCCCCCCTCCTGACTCCCCCCCTCAAAGTTTTGGATTTAAATAATGGATTCTCCCTGTGTGCAAAGGAAAATGTTCCAGGAAATCAAGGTGATGAGAATAGTGTGGGCCTTCACCAGCCTGAATGACTAATACAGTAGTCCTTGACTTACAACAGTTTGTTTAGTGATTGGTCAGAATTACCGTAGCATTAATAAAGATGATTTCCCATCAGTCATTGTAACAACCTGATGTTCATGTGAACAAAATCTGGGTGCTTGGCAACCGGCATGTATTTATGATGGCTGTAGCACCATTGGAAGGTCATGTGATCACCATTTGCAACCTTCCCAGCTGGCTTTCAACCAACAAAGGAAGAGAAGGGGAAATGGATTCATTTTAACTGCATGATTCATTTAACAATTGCAGACATTTATAAGAACTGTGGCAAAAAAAAGTTGTGAAATTGGGTGTGACTTGCTTAACAACTGCCCTGCTTAGCAACAGAAATACTGGACCCAACTGTAGTCATAAGTCAAGGACTACTGTAGGGGTGGGCTGATCCCATGACTGTGACAATGATGAGGGCATTAAACTTCATCTGAAGCAAAACAAGCTATAGCTTATGGCTTGTTTAATGGGGGAAATGCTTCTTTAACAGCCAATCTACTAAGGATAACTTAAGGATAACTGCCTCCGGTATGGATTAGAAGTGAGATGAAGGGAATGTCACGAAGATCTGGCAGAAAGAATTTGTTCACACCCAGAATATATCTAAGTGGGAAAAGTGGGGTCTCTGATAAATTGGTAGAAAAAAAAAAGATAGTCCCCGGGATCCAAAATTAAACTTATCAGCCACAATTTGTAGCAGCCTCTTTGAAAGCCATTAGGCTGTTTAATCACCGATAAATCTACCAAATACATTTCTCCCTATTTTAATCTCCCTCACTTCCTGATTTTTGCAAGTCAAGCTGTGATCAAATGCACAAGAATTTGCACTAAATTAGTAGTCCTGTTCCTAATTGTTTGGATGGGTTGTTCTAGTTTCACACTGAGCATTGGCACCGCTCCCAGCGTGGTGCCACACCCCCATAACCCCATACCGTCATGGATGGGAAGCAGCTGAATTGATTCTCCTCAGCTCAGCTGCACTGCAGCTCCAATAGCAAAATTTCATTTTTGCAGCATTGGAGTTCCTTTGAACCCCTGCCAGTCCCCCCCTTCCGGCTCTTTGGCTTTCTCCCCCCCCCACCTCGCCCGTTCCCTCCCCAAAGCTGCTAAGCTGCCATTGTGGTCTACTGTCCTGGCCTTGGGCTTTGGAACAGCTTTGCAAATAGTGACCTGTTTTTTAAAACGCTTGTTGTTGCTTTTCTGCTGTAAACTGGGTGTGAGGCTGGGGAGAGGGGCACCCGTTTTGGCATTGCTCTGTTTGGCCAGCTGGAGGAAATGCTGGCCAGCCACTGGCTTATTCTGGCTTCAAGGAAGTAGCCTTACAGTTGCCACTTAAACAATCTTCCGTTTGCAGACCAGATTATTTGTATCTTTAAACCTGAATAGGAAGGTGGATGATTTCACATTGCTGCATCCTTAAAAAAGCAAGGGGAAACTGTCCCTGGGGGAATGCCCGCTCAAGCTCCCCTTTTAGGGGAATCCAGGTTAAAGGGAAAGCTGGCGGTTGCTTAGAAACAGGACCCAGAGCTTGTCTTTTTGTGGCGAGTTGTTTCCTTGCTGTGCAAAACTCTGCAGAGACCAAAAAGAGAGATCAGGGCACTGTTTACATCCCAGCATGTAACTGGAGAGGCCCAGAGCAGAACCAGAATAACTGAGGAGAGAGTCGTAAGTGTTGCTGTAGGACCCTTGCCATGGGACGCCCTGTCCCAGGGCTGAGATGCTGACAAGGAGGAATAGAAGCCTTGCTCTCTGTGTAAAGTCAGCTGGAGAAAGCCCACATGTAATTTTGTGCCTTGGCATCCCCCCCCCCCCCCCGCTTATACTCTCTTCTCACAAGACTGCAGAATTTTTCTTTTCACTCCCCAACCTCTGGGCCTCTGCTAAGCCTCAGCCCTAAATAATGAAGAAAAATTCTTTTTAAAGGGCTTGTTTGTATTACATTTCACATAGATTAGTTTAAATGGTCTTATAATGACTTGGAGATACAACTAATCGATTCAAAAACCACTTTTAAAAGACTGCATCATCTAAATTAATATGCCATGGAAATTATGCAGGGATGCCAGCATATTATATTGGGTGTACTATAATAATATATCATCTGAACACCATCATCATTGACAAAATCACCATCAGTCAATTGCAAAAGGCAGCTTTGCATGGAACAGTTTACATTCTGTGATGATACTTTTAAATATCATCAAACAAGAATATTTGCCTGTCCCCTGTTGTTGGGAAGGACTGGATAAAGATGCCAAATCCAGTCTAAACATCTGGCTGACTGTGTGATGATACATAATAATAACAAAGTCAAGCTGTTGATCACAATGCTGTGATTGAAATTCCTCTCATTTTTTTTTAAAAAAGGCAGAGCTTAAATTGCACCGTTGCTGTTCTTTTTTACCTATATCTTACAGACATCTGACTGCAGCTGAATATTCAGTGGCTTTCAGTTGTGCCCCAGAATACAATCCTAAATTAATTCACAATTAATATTGCCCATCAAAGAATTTCAATACACGGCAAAAAAAAATTCTGGGGAAACTTTCTCAGGCAGTTTTGGCTAAAGATTCATGAAATCTGGTCTAGCAATTCAAGAAAAAAAGAAATGATTTCAATGAAATGGCCCATCCCCTGGAATTATTCTGTAGAACCATTTTATTGACTCTGTACCATCTGTAACAAGGTGTGATTTACCACAAATAACATCACACTATGATGTACTTCAAACATTTATTTAGTTTTGCAAAAAACAGAACAGGAAAACAAACGGCACGATCTCCTCCATCCAAAAAATAATTTTGCCACCCTTCTCCCTCATTCCCCAAATACAGCAAAGCAAAGCAGCCAACTTTGACTCTGGTAAAAGAAATGAGAATGGTCCTTCCTGTCTCCATAGAAACAGAGGTTATCTTCGGAACAAATTGAGGCAGTGAAGAGAAATATCACCCATGCTTTTTATTTCTTATATCAATGTTTCTCAATCTTGGCAACTTTAAGATGGCTGGACTTCAACTCTCAGAATCCCCTAGCCTAGCCAGTATGGTTGAAAAACTCTGCCTTCCTTAATCAAAGCAAATTGGCTTGCAGTCCTTTCCAAGACTCATTGATGCATTAATCCCTGTCAATCCAAGGCCATACGTGGATTTTGAGGAAAATCAGCACAAAATAGCAAAGTCCAATGTAGGTTTCTTAGTGGTTCATTTCTATTCCCTAGTCATGAGAAACAGTGTTTCTCAATTTCAGCAGCTATGCGGATTTCAGCTCCCAGAATTCCCTATGTTCACATGACTGCCTTCAATTGCTTTAAACCATCATCATATATCCAGTCTCACATATTGGAATTCAAGAGACAGTGGAAAACAATTGTTTCAAACCAAGAAAATAACCCTTGTCACTTGAGAGTGGCTATGATTTCTAAAGCAGACAAAGGATGCTGGTTAGGCATCAACATATAAACTCATGGTGTAGACCTGTAGTTGCTTGTAACTTTCTCTCCACTTCCCTTCAGAAATTACTCTTAAATCAAGAACGTTCCTTCTCTAAGTGGTTTCCTTGCCTAAATTGTCTGCGTGGGCCTTCTCTGAGCGGAAAGCTGCAATTCATATCAGCTTATCAGCTGGACTGAGCTCTTAGAAGTATTATTCATTGGAAAAGTTGCAAGAGCTATTTTTTTTTAATGATGACACTTAATGCGGGGAGGGAGAAAAATTGAGTTTTGAAAATTCTGCCTCTCCATTGCTCTCACTGTTGTAAATCTTGGCTAGTTAACTAGCAAGATGTTGGATGGAAATTCATCTGAACAAAAGGTATTCAGGTCCTATGGATCATTTTCAGGTTCCCCAAATGATAGGTTAGGAATTCAGGTTTGGGAAGTTAAGTTGGTAACTTCGATGTGAATCTGGGTGAATTTGAAGGGTATGTAAAAAAAGAAAAAAAATCAAACAGGTAAACCAAATTGCAAGATTCTTTTGTTCTTTTTATGCTCTTTTAATTTTCTAACAGAAGAATTGTAATTTTTGTTCTGGGTAGAACTTGGCTAAAGTAGGAAATTGAAATGAGATTTTGTTGTCTGACCTCGGGGTGAATTTAAAAGACTTTCAAGACACAAGTCCTCTTGTTGAGTCAAAAATAACTATTTGTAAAAACTGGATTTTAAATACAGCCCTTTATCTTCCCTCAATTTGTTAGTGTCTCAGTTCACTAACACAGCTGTCTCTCATTCATCAACAAAGCTCTTTTCTCACAGTCCCCTCTGGCTCCCCCACCCCAAATTCAAACAAGACAAGCACAACTGGTTCTATTTACAAGTCACAAAACAAGGAAGAAAAGGGTGTCCAGAAGCTGGAAAAATAGGGTGGGAGGTAGAATGGGGAAGGTTGATTCTTTCCGCCTCTGTCTGTAAAGGTTGTAGCGTGAGAGAAAGAGAGACTTTAATTTTTCCTCTGAAGGTTTTTAGGAAGTATGTTCACTGGTGCTTCTCTTTCTGATGCAATATTCCCAAGGCTTTTTGGGCAAACCTGGGATAGACAATAGGATGAAGCAGGTTCCCCCAAAGATCAGAATTACTCCTGCAGACACTGCACAAGCCACGGACCAGGAATACTCATATTCCAGTGGGATGGTCTCATTGGAGGTGATAAGGCACCGGACTGATTGTCGGAAAATCTCCAAACTCACCAACACCATCAGTCCTGGAAGGGAAATAAAAAAGAGAAGGGTGTAGGAGAAGAGCAGGCAGAACTAGTGGGTGGAGTTAAACATGTCATCAATTTATAATTCTTGCATCACTACAAGAGATCCAAGTCCAGCCCATGAATTTCATTGACCCGTATTAAGTGCCAATTTTGTGCTGACCGTTAGTTGACTAGATTCTTGTCTGTAGTTTTGAATAAATCTTCTATGCGGCAACATTGCGAATGCTCCTGATTCTTTGTGCCTGACAAGAAGACAGTGTAGGGCAGTGTTTTTCAAATGTGGCATCTTTAAGATGTGTGGACTTCATCTCCAAGACTTCCCTAGGACATTCTGGAAGTTGAAGTCCACATGCCCTAAAGTTGACAAGTTTACAAATCACTGGTGTAGGATGTTCCCCTGTGAGATATTTTCAGCTGTGAACCAAGACCACAAACAAGCAATATAGGGCGGAACACTAGATTAAGCTGGGCCACTTAGAAGGGCCTTGTGTGGCTCCTTAGGTGGATCTGAGGCCTCCTTATGTTTTAAGGCAGGGATGTCCAACCTTGGCAACTTTAAGACCTGTGGACTTCAACTCCCAGAATTCCTCAGCCAACCATGCTTGACAATAAAATTGTCAAAATTGGACACCTCTGTTTTAAGGAATGTCTTGGTTAAAAGAATATTCCCCCCATTCCTTCCACCCCATCTACTTCAGGAAAGAAAAGAAGGCTCTGCAGAATTCATACCTGATATTATAAAGAAGCACGATGCTGGCTTCAGGAGGAACTCAACTCCTTTGCTCAGGGCCATTGTGATGCAGAGGGATCCCATGGCCATCAAGGTGATGCTGAGGAGGGACACAACGGCTGCCGTGATGCTCAGTTCTATGCAGTGTTGCCAAGCAGGGGAGAAAAAGTCATTTCATTCCACCCAACATTTCACAGAGGAAAACAGGGGCACACTGGCAGGATAACTTGTGCGCTACCTCTGATGTGGCCAGCAAGAAATCATCAATATCTAGAGCAGTGTTTCTCAACCTTGACAACTTTAAGATGCATGGATTTCAGCCTGGGGAATTCTGGGAGTTGAAGTCCACACATCTTACAGTTACCAAGGGTGAGAAACGTTGATCTAAAGTAGCTGCTTCCCTATTCATGTGTTGACTACCAAGTCATAATTCTTGTTAGCATGACTACAGCCAGGAATAACTGGAGGTATCAAGTTGGTGAAGGCCATTTTATCTATCTAGGTCAGGGGTGTCAAACTGCCAGCCCGCGGGCTGGATGAATCATAGCAAAACCACGCCCACCCCATTGCCGGCAATGGCAAAAAAGTCACGATACGTCGCGACACGTCATATGACATTGCAAGTTTGATTTAGGTAACGGTAAAGGTTCCCCTATCTAATCATGTCCGACTCTCAGGGATGATGCTCATCTTTGTTTCTTAGCTAAGGGAACCAACATTGTCCAAAGATACTTCCATGGTCATGTGGCCAGCATACCTATACGCCAAGGTGAATGGAACATTAATACTTTCTCACTGAAGTGGTACCTATTTATCTACTTGCATTTGAATGCTTTCGAACTGCTAGGTTGCCAGGAGCTGGGGAAAGTAACAAGCACTCACCCTGTCACATGGCGCTTATGTCTCGAACTCAGGCTGTCAACTTCCCAGCTGGCAAGCTCAGTGTCTTTAACCACTGAGCCATCACGTCCCCCACTGCCTGCCTGCCTGCTTGCCTCTCTCCCTCCCTCCCTCCCTCTCTCTCATCTCTCATGTATCTAATCTAATCTAATCTATCTCATCTGTCTATCATCCATCTATCTATCTGTCTTTTGGGGATATAATCATATTTCCCAAAAGATGAACAGCTATTTCTTCTCAGTCCCAGCAACCTTCAGTGTAATTTGAGATCTTTTGAATAATACCCTGGGAGCATTTTTCATGAACATTTAAAGATCTTTTTTGATTGAAAGCTGCAGTTACAGCCCTAAAGGAAGCTGCAGTGATTAACTGTTTGAGATTTTTCAAAAATGTAATGACTAAAAGAATGCCCAGATTTATTGGGTGGCGGAGTTCTTAAATTTAAACTATGAAAGGTGGTAGAAATTGATTTCAACAAACTTTGTAACTGGATTATTGAATTGTGACTGTGCCATTATCAACTCAATGTTTTCTATAGTTAGGAGAGCTATTTATTTATTTATTTATTAAACAAATGCATATAACCAACTAACTCACACACAGTGATTCTGGGCAGTGTACAACATTAAAGACCCTCAGTTAAAAATTCACAATTTCACAATTTAACCCCCTTCCACCCTTTAAGATGACAAGGTGTTAGTATATTTGTGCATAGAAGCACCAACAAATTTATTTTTACAAACATTAAATGCCCATTCATTTTCTGATTAGCTGTAATTATCTGGGCATTTGCTTTTTTATGCTTTCCTAATGATTTGGACTTCAATTTCCATAGTCCCCAGCCAACGTGGGTGACAGTCTGAGAATTATGGGATTTAGCTCAACACATCTGGAGGGCATTTAGGATGACTGCAGAAAGAAATCTAGATGAAGCCAAGTTAGAAGCAGGAGCTGCAGAACCTGAAGAGCAGAAAAATGTTTATTCTCCAAAGTGATTGTTGCATACTTTAAGAATTTAATCCAGAAGCAGAATCATGTTTTTTTCTGAGATTTTGATAAACATTTTCATTGAGACCTCAGTTGCCATCTGGAATAAGGTAGTGGCAGTAAAATCTCTGAGGGAGATGGGTGGTTGAGAAATATAAAATATAAGCAAGCAAACAAACAAAAGTTTAGGTTGGCTTGCAGAATCTTAGCATGCAGACTTTTGGCCTGCTTGTTGTGGCATTTCCCAAAAGTGTTTTTTTTTTTTCCAAAAGGCAACTGGATTCCAAGAATGTCCAGTTACCTTTTTGAAAAAGTATTTTTGGGGCAATGATAGCCTGGATGATTGAGACTCTCCATAGACATTTGTTGTGGTTTGTGGAGAAAGAGGATAAAGCAACAGAAGAGATACCTAGATCCCCATTGGGAGGAAATTAGGAATGAATCTAATTAGACATAAATAAAAGCTTTTTGTTAGCGCTGTTATGTCCTGAGCCTGCAAAAGGGCAGGCTCGGGACGTTGCAACGGTCCCGGGCAGCTGCAGGTTGCCCGGGACCAGACTGGTTGGCGCCAGCGCTCAGGGCATGCGCGAGGCGCTTCGCGCGCCTAAATGTTGCCTTTTGGCCTGGGGAAAAACGTCCTTAAGAGAGGCTGAGAAGTCCGTGCTGCCTTGAGTTGTAACGGGGCTGCTGAAGAGAAATAAAGGTTACTGAACATCAAGAATGTCTCGTGTCGTCATTCCATTAGCCGAGGACTCAACACTGGCAACGAAGATGGGATGGCCTTGCAATTACGCAAATAATTGTAAGCTTACCCTGGAGTCCAGCACAGCAAGGAAACGGCGTTAAATTCAGCAACTGCCTGCCAATACAGCTTCGTTGGAGGTAAGCTGGCTGATAGACCCTTCCTGCTTTACTAAAATGGTAAAGATTGGAAAACTTTCAGAGTTTGATATTACACATCCCGAAAGATCGGAATCTTACGTGGCCCGAGCAGAAAATTATTTCAGAGTTAATCAAGTAAGAGAAGAGGGCTTAAAGGCCGCCACCCTACTCTGCGTTTGTGGTCAAGATGCATTTGAAATTGCTGAAAACTTAGTAGCCCCTGCACCTCTTGAATCTGTTACCTACACAGATCTTAAGAAATTACTGAAAGAGCATTTTCAACCCAAGTTGTCTGTTATTGCTTGGAGACATAATTTTGAACAGCGGGATCAACGGGCTGGTGAATCAGCTAAAGAGTAAATTGCTGCATTAAGAAGGGCAGCTAAGCATTGTGAATTTAAAGATTTAGAGGAAAGACTGAGAGACAGATTTGTATGTGGACCGAGAAACAGAGATGTACAACAAAGGCTTTTTGCCAAAGAGGACATATCATTCCAAGATGCCTTGAGAGAGGTTACTGCAGAAGAGGCAGCAAGTGGGGCAATCAAGAATATAAGGCCCATCAAAAGCTTTCCAGAAGCTGTTTCCGTGCATCACGAGGGAGTTCAAGGAAGCTCAGAAGAGGAGCCTGATGAAGAAATAGATCATCTCTACCCAACCAAAGAAAGAAAGCAGAGGGAAGGCAAAGAAAAGTCTTCACCTGTACCCAAGTGCTTCGGGTGTGGAGGTCGCCACAAGAGGACCGACTGCAAGTTCCGTTCTGCAATCTGTAGAGTATGTGGGAAGCAAGGCCACATAGCAGCTGTGTGTCTGGGCCGACAGAAGGTACAACCCCGAGAAGAATTGCGCCTGAAAGGTACCAGGGTCCCCAGCCAAAACAGGGTGGGTTTCTGTGCTTCACGAAGAAGCATTTTTAAGACAGGCACACACAGACCACTTAAAAAGAAGCTGTCACTTAGGGTGAAATTGCAAGGAGTTCCATTGGTCATGGAACTAGACACTGGGTCTGCACTTTCAATCATCTCCATTCACACATTCAGAAAGATTTGTTCTGGTAGTGGTTTCCGGGCCAAGCTTAGGCCTTCTAACATAGTACTAACAGACTTTCAAAACTCCAAAGTGTGTGTTAAGGGGGAGGCCACCCTTAACGTGCAGTATAAGGATTTTGAAGGTCCATTAGATGTATTGGTAGTGGGGGGTGATCGTACGAGTCTCATAGGACTCGATTGGTTTGAGGCCCTGGGAATACAAGTTACAGGGCTCAACAGCTTGCAAACGTTAGACTTACAGGAAGTCTGCAAGGAATTTGCAGATGTATTCAGCCCTCAGTTGGGCACATACAAGGGTCCCCCAGTGTCTTTGAAATTAGACCCCACTGTCACTCCTATCAGAGTAAAGGCAAGAAGGGTACCTTTTGCCTTAAAAGGGAAAATTGATGCTGAATTGGACAAATTGATTCAGCAAGGAGTCTTAGAACCTGTTGACTCCAGTCCATGGGAAACTCCCATAGTAACACCTCTTAAGGCTAATGGGGATATTCGCATTTGTGCAGATTACAAATGCACGCTCAATAAGGCATTACAGCAACATGCCTATCCTGTGCCTATTGTCAGCCACATTCTGGGGGGTGTATTTTTGCAAAGCTTGATTTAGCTCAGGCTTACCAACAGTTGCCTGTGGACGAAGCTGCTGCTGTGGCACAAACCATTGTAACTCATAGGGGGGCATTCAAGGTCAAGAGACTGCAATTTGGAGTAAATGTAGCTCCTGGAATTTTCCAAAGAGTAATGGAAAATACCTTGAGGGGTATTCCAGGGGTTTGCCCCTATTTTGATGATGTCTTAATTGCTGGAGAGTCTATCCAAAATCTGGCTGAAAGATTGAGGGCTGTCCTGCTGAGGTTTCGGAAAAAAGGACTCAAACTCAAAAAGGACAAATGTAAAATTGGGGTGTTTTCTACAGATTTTCTAGGGTTCAAAATTGATGCCAATGGGATTCATCCTGCTGAGTCCAAATTAAAAGCTATCACACAAGCTCCCAGACCAAAGTCCAAAGCGGAACTGCAAGCTTTTCTGGGACTTTTGAATTTCTACAATTCATTTATTCCTAACAAGGCTGATGTAGCTGAACCACTTCATAGGCTGTGTGGGAATGGTCACAAGCACATGAAGCAAGCTTAAATAAGGTTAAGGCCTTGCTAACATCTAACAATGTGCTTGCACATTTTAATGAAACACTCCCTGTGTGCATTGCTTGTGATGCTTCCCCTTATGGCGTAGGAGCTGTACTCAGCCATCTCACACCTGATGGAACTCAGATTCCTGTTGCATATTACTCCAGAACTTTATCCTCTGCTGAGAGGAATTATGCCCAGATAGATAGGGAGGCCTGAGCTGTTGTTGCTGGAATCAAAAAATTCCATGATTTTTTATATGGAAGACATTTCACGGTCTACACTGACCATAAGCCTTTGTTGGGATTGTTTACAACTAACAAACAGACCCCTCACATTATCTCTCCCAGGATGCTCAGATGGTCAATCTTCCTGTCAGCTTATGATTTTTCTTTAATTCACAAACCGGGCAAAAAAATGGGCCATGCTGATGGCCTCAGTAGATTACCCTTACAGGTAGTTGAGGCTGACCCTGCCCCGGCAATCAATATTCTTTCAATTCAAGCACTGCCTGAGTCACCCCTTAACGCCAGGGATGTGGCTGCTGAATCAGCCACGGATCTTACACTCTCTCGAGTCTTATCCTGGGTTTTGTCTGGATGGCCAGAGAGTTGTCCAGGTACTGAGTTTCAGAGTTTCTGGTTAAAAAGGAACGAGTTGTCCACCTTCCAGGGCTATCTGCTGTGGGGTAGCAGAGTTGTCATTCCTACCTCAATGAGGTCTAGAGTCTTAGGGTCCCTTCACGAGGGTCATCCTGGCATTGTTCGAATGAAGGCGCTTGCGCGCAGCCACTTGTGGTGGCCTGGGTTAGATAAGGAAATTGAGGCTAAGGTGCATGCTTGTCACCTTTGTCAACGCTCATGCCCAGAAATGCCTGAGGCTCCCGTACATAGGTGGGAGGAAACACAGTCCCCATGGTCTAGGGTGCACATTGACTACGCTGGGCCCTTTCAGGATCAATTCTTCATGGTTCTGATTGATAGCTATTCAAAATGGCTTGAGGTTGTACCTGTCTTGTCCACCACCACTGCAAAGACTATCCAAGTACTGCGGGGAATTTTTGCTGCACATGGGCTTCCAGATGTTTTGGTGTCTGACAATGGCCCGCAATTCACTTCTTCCGAATTCCAAGCTTTCTTGCAGGCCAACATGATTCGTCATGCCACTTCTGCTCCTTTCCACCCTTCCACCAATGGGATGGCTGAACGGATGGTCCGCATCACCAAGGATGCTTTAAAGAGACTTACCTATGGGGACTGGCATCACAGGTTGGCTGACTTCCTCCTTTCCTACCGCACTACACCTTCCACTTCTACCGGGAGGAGCCCAGCTGAACTTCGTTGGGGGCGCAAACTGATTACTAAATTTGACCGGTTGCATCCGGACAGACTGCCGCCTAGGGGTACACAGCCCAGGGCACTGCGGCAATTGCAAGTGGGTGCCCCTGTATGGACCCGTAACTACGGGCCAGGCCATTTATGGGTTCCTGCCACTGTTTGCAAGGTTACAGGCCCTTTGTCTTATGAGGTCTTCTTGGAAGACGGCCACATCCTGTGACGGCATATTGACCAGCTGCGTACAAGGCTGGACTCACCTGCAGAGACTCCTGGTTCTTTTCCAGGGGGGGAAGAGGACCCTTACGGACAAAGGGAAGGGTGTTGGCAGCATTCAGACTCTCACAGTGAGGCCACAGACGGCCTTTCGCATGATTCCGCGAGTGTTCCAAACAGGAACTCAAGGGAACCAGTTAGCGCACAAGCTACAGTGCAGACTCCAGCCAGGGAGTCACCCCGGGGGCATAATCATTACACACGTACACCTTTCAGCACTCCAGTCAGGGAGAATAACCGGGAGCATCCTAATAACTCAAACATTGCAAGAGAGCTGGCACACAATCAATACAATTGGCTCAACACAGCCACAGTCCCCAGAGAAGGACACTGCCACAGAGAAGTGGGAGAAGAGCCAATTTTAGACATTGGACCCTCTGGTTCAACAGAGGGGGGAACTGAGTTTTGGGATAATACTGAAATAACAGACAGTCCTGCTATGGAACTGGGGAGTGGAGGAAGCCGGCCTCCCGTTAGGTCCAGTGTGGGCTTGAGAGGCCATTCAGAGCTACCCAACAATGGCAGCTTAATAGAAGGGTCAGATCGCCTGCAACTAGGCAGGTCAACCAGGTTAGAGAGAGAGCAAAGTCCTGGCCTGATGAGCCCGGTGGGCAAGCAAGCAGGCCAGGCATCAGGGCACAGTCCACGGGGGCCACCAGGGTCTGAGAAGGGGGGTGAACCTATAACCTCCACAGGACAAGGTGTACTTGTAAATAATCCAGGCCTACGTAGGTCACAGAGAGATAAGAGGTCTCCCAAATATCTTGAAGATTTTATAACCTTACTGGCTGGGCAGAAGACTTAAGTGTATTCTGTGGAAGCCGGAAATGGGAACACTGGAGTTAATCCCCAGCACTATAACGTGGTACCATTTAACAAGAGTGTACACCACGCTCATGTTGAGGTCGCGTTAAAATTGTCATATAGTCTTAGCCGGGGGGGGGAAGGGGTGTTATGTCCGGAGCCTGCAAAAGGGCAGGCTCGGGACGTTGCAACGGTCCCGGGCAGCTGCAAGTTACCCGGGACCAGACTGGTTGGCGCCAGCGCTCGCGCGCATGCATGAGGCGCTTCGCGCACCTAAATGTTGCCTTTTGGCCCGGGGAAAAACGTCCTTAAGAGAGGCTGAGAAGTCCGTGCTGCGTTGAGTTGTAACGGGGCTGCTGAAGAGAAATAAAGAAGGTTACTGAACATCAAGAATGTCTCGCATCGTCATTGCCATTAGCCGAGGACTCAACACTTACCACGTGGTGATAAGAGTGGCAAAAAAGATTTATTTCTCCACCCTTCTCTTCTGCATATTGGCCAGTAGCCCTGTGCAGGGAAATCTAGACACTTCTAGACCATGGAGCATCTGCAAAACCCCCGTGAGAGCTATTCAAAACACCCAGTAGATAACATTGCTCAGATTCACTGTGAGTTGGCCTTCAGCTAGACCTGGAGTTCTAAACAGGTGGCTGAAGCAGTCTTGTGATGTTTTCAGGGGTGAGTTTGAGTCTATTAGTGCTGAGAAAATGGACATGGTCCTTGTAGCTGTGGGTGTGGCCAACTGTGTATTAAATCCCCGCTCTTCCTGGTTGCTTGAGACCTCTGGGGATGAAGCATGTGAGGGATAAATGTGTCTTTCAGAAGCGGGATGGTTCCACTGGTTTTGAAAAAAAGATAGTGGTGTGCCTGTTTTTCAACAGACCAGCCTTGGATCCAGTTGAACTGGGCAACGTTCATCCAGTCTCCAACCACAGGCTCAGAAAATGTAAATGTTACCAGTAGCTCATACTCAAATTCTGATTTGAATAGAGAGAACACTGCATGTTTCACCCATTTCAGAGCAGCAGGTTAGGGTTGTGTCAATCATTTAAAGCAGGGTTTCTCACTTAGCAACTTTAAGATGTATGGACTTCAATGCTCAGAATTCCCCCATCAGCCCAAGCTGGCTGGGGAATTCTGGACACTGAAGTCCATAATGCACTGAGATTGCGAAACACTGCTTTACAAGGTGGCGAGATGGCTTGCTCCTTTCCCCCTCTATTCACCATGATTGGTGGATAATACATGGCCGATTCAACAAGAGAGATCCCTTAGAATAGTGGTTCTCAGCCTGTGGGTCGGGACCCCATTTGGGGTCGAACAACCATTTCACGGGGGTCGCCAAACAACGCAGTCCGCCATTTTTTTCCCCCTCTTCCTTAGCTGTGCTACTCCCTTTTATTCTATTGGCTTTTGAAAGCCAATAGAATAGACTCTCTTGAATAGAGTCTAATTCTATTGGCTTTCAAAAGCCAATAGGAATTGTCCAGGCTGTCTCTGCCCAGCTGAGCCCGCCAAAAGTCCCATTCTGCAAACGGTGCTGCACCAGTTGAGTAGTCTTCGACTTATGACCGGTTGAGTAGTCCTTGACTTACGACCGGTTGGGGGTTGCGGCATTAAAAAGGTTGAGAACCATTCCCTTAGAACAACGGAAATGTGATGCTTTGTCCTTAATGGCAGGTTTGAGGACTGTGGTGAAACCCCTTCATCAATTCAGACAGCCCCTCTCCAAACCTCCTTGAATCAGCACATGCACCAAAAATCTTTCTAATTTCAATAGTATGGGATGCAGAAGTTCTTGACTGACACACGGACTGTAGCTCCTTTCCTTTCTGCCACACAACACTTCAACCTGAACACCTTGGTGGACTTACCCTTTTTTGTAGTCCTTAGGAAGATGTTGGCATTCTCCCCAGTGGTGAAGAATTTGAAATAAGAACAGTTAGCTTCTGAAAAAAAAGAAAGCATTTATCTCGTTTGTCATTATATTATACCAAAGGTGTCCCAAAGATGCTTTTTTCAAGAAGCAGCTGGACTTCCTTGTTTCTCTTTGAAGACGTTTCGCTTCTCATCCAAGAAGCTTCTTCAGCTCTGACTGGAGGGTGGGGAATGGAAGGATTTATACTCCTTGCAGACAGCTGGTCATCTTGGATGAGAAGCGAAATATCTTCAAGGAAAAACAAAGAAACTCCAGTTGCCTCTTGAAAAAAGTATCTTTGGGACAACCATGACCTGGATGACTAAGAATCTCCAGAGACTTATGCCACAGGTCATCATCAACTTAGGGCCATTTGTTTAATAACTGTTCAAAGTTATGTTGGTGCTGAAAAAAGTGACTTACAACTGGTCCTCGCACTTCCAACTATGACACATCCCTATGGTCACGTCTCCGTGGTCACATGATCAGAATTTAGGTGCTTCACAATTGGCTTGTCTTTATGACAGTTGCAGCGTTCCGAGTCACATGATCACCTTTTGTGCTGACCAAAGGGGCTTCTGACAAGAAAAGTCAAGGGGGGAGGGAGAGCCAGATTTGCTTAACAACCACAGTAAAAAAGGTCTTAAAATCAGATACAACTCATTTAACAACTGTATGGCAATGGACAGTTGGATAGCTCCAACTATAGTCATAAGTCAGGGACTACTTTACTATATTCCTCCTCCTAATTTCTTCAAATTATCTCAAACGAAATTCATTTCTCATAAATCTCTCAATATTTCTTCCACTTTAAGTACTAAAACAATAAATAAATCAAATCCTGGTCCAAAAAAGAACATTATGCTTTTGTTTTGTTTTGTTTCTTTCCAAATACTGGCTACACAGAACAGTTCTAGCAATGAAACTTGAGAATTGCCATGAACTAAGAAAATCACCTCAGGACGAGCCCCTTTACTTTGTCTGGGGAAACGCTTTGCCATCCCATGTAGACTAGCATTAATCTCCTTTTATAATCCTCTTCCAGTGTAATTCCTTTTACCTGTCCAGTTTCAGAAACAGCCACACTCAGACCTTTCTGTTGGACTGTACTGGAGACTGTTTCTGACATCAAATTTCCCCTCTGAAATAAAATCTCTTTCTCAGGGACTACAGAAATGCTGCCCTGATTACTATTAATAATTTAATTACTAACACCGTAACATACTATTTTTGTATGCCTTTCACGCCAAATAAATGTTGGTATAAATCTTCGCCAAATATTCATGATAGAAACATTAAATATCAAACATATGCTGATAAATTAAAACAGTAGCACAAGATAACAAACACATTTTAACTGAAGCCCTTCTAAGATAGAAGGAAGGAAGTTTACATATTAGACAATAACTTGATTAGGTTTTATATTTATAAGACCATTTTAGTTGTATGTAATCACATGCAGTTTTCCTGTGTTTTAATGAATGTTTCATGACAGGAAATATTTTTGTATCAAAATCTAGATTACAATTTAGATGCAGCAAAAGCTGAAGCAAAGAACTGTGGTCAACTTGTCATTATTTAAGCTAATCAAGAATACTCTTTCACTGCAATGACTGTAAAACTGGAAATGTGCATTTCTTGATTTCATGAAACATTTGTCTAAAGTTTAAACCCTGAAAACGGAGAAAATGCACTCTGTTTAATTTTATACTGAATGCTTTTTCAGCATATATACGCTGGAGGGCTAGTAACTTCGAATCCGACCGGACACATTTAAGAGCCTATATTAGGACTTATTTAGTGGCGATATGAGTGGCAAAATGTTTGCATTTTTCCGCACTTATTGCATTTGCAGAATCTCGCCCCGCCGCCCTGTTTAGGGTGACGCGTTCCCTACTTAACGTTTGGGAAGCCGGGGAGCACTTACAGGGTAGGGCGGAAGAATTTGTGCAGTTTGTGCAGTTTCTATCAGATGCTCGGATTCGGACAGACCTAGACTCCAATTGGGCAGGGCCTTCTGAGATGACCGGGGCAGGTCTTAGCCCAGTTTTATGGGATGAATTTGAGTCTGTGATTGCTGAGGATGTTGACAGAGCGGTGGGAGCGATGAGCACCTCCACTTGTTTATTGGACCTGTGTCCTTCCTGGTTGGTCTCGGCCGCCAAGGAGGTGACACGGGGCTGGCTCCAGGTGTTGATCAACGCTTCGTTGAGGGAGGGGTCTTTCCTGCAACCCTTGGAGGAAGCGGTTGTGAGGCCCCTTCTCAAGAAGCCTACCCTGGACCCAGCTGATTTAAATAACTTCCGCCCAGTCTCCAATCTCCCCTTTTTGGGGAAGGTTGTAGAGAGAGTGGTGGCGCTCCAGCTCCGGCAGTCTCTAGATGAAGCGGATTACCTAGACCCTTTTCAATCTGGCTTCAGGCCCGGCTTCAGCACAGAAACTGCTTTGGTCGCGCTGATGGATGATCTCTGGCGGGCCCGAGACAGGGGTTATTCCTCTGTCTTGGTGCTACTTGACCTTTCAGCAGCTTTTGATACCATTGATCATGGTATCCTTTTGCGACGACTTGGGAGGGGTGGGAGTGGGAGGCACCGTTTTACAGTGGTTCTCCTCCTACCTCTCTGGCCGGTCGCAATCGGTACTGGTGGGGGGCAGAGGTCAACCCTGAGGCCCCTTGAATGCAGGGTGCCGCAGGGGTCGGTCCTCTCCCCCCTCCTATTTAACATTTATATGAAGCTGCTGGGTGAGATCATCAGACAGCACGGGGTGAAGTTTCATCAGTATGCTGATGATACCCAGCTATATATCTCTTCCCCGAGCTCTCTCAGTGAAGCAGCTGATGTGATGGGCCGTTGCCTTGAAGCCGTGAGGGTCTGGATGGGAGTTAACAGACTCAGGCTCAATCCTGACCGAGTGGCTTTGGATGTTGCCTCCCAAGGATCATGTTAACTGTCCAGTGTTGACTCTAGCAGGGGAAAATATATCCCCTTCGGAGTGGGTTCGCAACTTGGGTGTCCTCCTTGATCCACAGCTGAATTTGGAACATCATTTGACGGCTGTGGCTGGGAGGACCTTTGCACAAGTTCGTCTGTTGCACCAGTTGCGACCCTACCTGGACTGGGAGGCTCTTCTTACAGTCACTCATGCCCTTGTCACCTCACGGCTGGACTACTGCAATGCGCTCTACATGGGGCTACCCTTGAAAAGTATTCGGAGACTACAGTTGGTCCAGAATGCAGCCGCGCGAGTGATAGTGGGTGCTCCTCGGTACACCCACGTTACACCTATCCTCCGTGAGCTGCACTGGTTGCCTATTGGTCTCCGAGTCCAATTCAAGGTGTTAGTTATTACCTTTAAAGCTCTATATGGCTCAGGGCCAGGCTATTTGCGAGACCGCCTACTACCTCATAGTTCCCTTCATCCGGTTAGATCCCACAGGCTGGGCCTCCTTCAGGTCCCGTCGGCCAAACAGTGCCATTTGGTGGGGCCGCGGGGAGGGCTTTCTCTGTGATGGCGCCCACGTCTTGGAACCAGCTCCCCCCGGAAATTAGGACCACTCCCACCCTGTTGGTTTTCCGCAAGCTGCTTAAGACCTGGCTTTTCCGGCAGGCCTGGGGTTTATAAAATCTGACCCCTGGATGACTGTTATTGTATTGTTTGTTTTGTTAAGTTATGTTGTGTTTTTATTGTTAGCCGCCCGGAGTCCTGCAGGAGTGGGGCGGCTTATAAATTTTAATAAATATAAAATATAAATAAATAAATATATAAAGCAAAGTACGTATTTGGTCAAATTGGTTTAGTTGCCAAGAAATTGTAGAGTTTATAAGATAAATTAAATACTTTTGAATCAGGATTAAAATTCAGATGTATTGATAGCTGACTGCAGGGTTGAAATAGATTTATAGATAGTCCTTGACTTGCAACTACAACTGGGACCAGAGTTTCCATTGCTAAGCAAGGTAGTCGTTAAATGAGTTTTGCTTGATTTTATGACCTTTTTTGCCATAGTTGTTAACCAAATCACTTTAGCTATTAAGTGAATCTCACAGTCCCCAATCTGGATATGCATCTGGCTTCCCGCATTGACTTTGTTTGTTGGGAAGATCACAAATGGTGATCACATGATCTTGGGGAGCCGCAAAGATAGCCAATGTCTATTGGCTGCCATGTGCCCGAATTTTGATCCTTTGATGCGAGGATAGTGCGATAGTTGTCACTGGGAGGATCAACTAGAAGTTACTTTTTTTCAGTATCATTGAACTCTTATGAGTTGTAGACAAAAATATTTAGATGGCAGCATGTTGGAGAAAGCTTGCCCATTGTACTTATATGATTTAATTATTTTAACGAAAGGTTCCTGAAGTAACCTCTTGGCAATTTTCTCTTGAATTAATTACAATTACAGTTATTTTTTTTCAATTTGGAGAGGTATTACTTAACAAAAAAGTGGAAGAAAAGAGAACAAAACAACAAAACATTTTTATATGAGAATTCCTATGCATATGCAAACAGATAATAACCCAATAATATCATTTTAGTTTTGCACAGTTTCAATAAAGAATGAATGTAGTACTCTGTGGATTGAAGAGCTGATATATTTTGTGGCTTATGAATGAGGTGCTTTCAGATGTAAATTATGTAAAGTGGTTGCAATTAAAATGACAACTATAATGCTACTGTATTTCTGCTGGCACATGCTTTTTCCAAGTTGCCAACAATTTCTTATAGTGTTCTCCTTTACATCATTATATATTATATATATAAAAAATTGCTGCCTGCCAGATGTTTCTGCCACAAAAAAACATGTAATATTTGAAAAGAAAACACTTTTTCCTTTTAAGCATTCTTTGGCTTTGCAGACTGAAATGGCCACCAGTTTCTTCCTGCATTTATCTGCAATGCACCGGCTGATTTTGCAGTCCTAAGAACTAGCAACTTGCTCCCAATTTTTTTTCCCTATAAAGTAAAAATATTGTTCTAAAGGCACCATATAAATGAAAGATAAATGTGTGTGTGTATCTATATATATTA